ACTGGGGAGAGCAAGATCCATTTGAGAACATATGGATCGAACCACCTCGGGATGTGTCATTCATCTAAGAATAGTAGTAGTAAGTATGTATCAAGCTTTTACAACTTATGTCATATATTTTGCAGCATCCATGGAATGACTATTGATGCTTGCTATATGGAATAATATGGATGAGTTGATCATGTATTACAATGAATAACCATGTTTTGTAGAACACCATTGACTCTACTGTGCATTCATGGAAGCACATCCTAATGCTTCTTTGAGAATTCGGTTAATTTTAATTTACTTTTTTTTTTAATTTCAATATGTTTGTCTTGTCTTTGTAAATTTAATTCAAATAAAGCGTTGTTGATCATATTTAATTTAGATTCTTAAATCTTTTTGGTAATAAAGCATGCAGTGGCTGAACTTCATCATTATCGGTATAACACTTGTAAGGTGTTGTTTTACCCTAGATTTTCCATGATAAATTATGACTATCCCATGATGTTCCTCAGGATAATATGCTAGATTCTATGAAGTGGAGGTTGAATTTCTTTTTCAAGTGAAAAAAGAGTATATCCTACGGTATTTGTTTAAACTTGCTTCTTTTTATTCAATGTGTTACTTTATGCAGCAGCCGGCAGATGAGTTGTTTCGTTCATCCAAGAAGAGCTCAATCCCTGCTTCTTGGAGATTCTCTTACAGAAAGCAAGCTCTAGTTCTCGGTCTTCTTCTTCATCACAGAGTAATCCATTTGAGTTGCACTCTCTTTAACCAAGCCTACAAATTTATTATTAATCTTAGAAGCTATGTTCATCTTACAATTACACTCATAAGATTGAAATAACTTTTAAAACATTACAATTATAAATTTTTTATTAATATTTTGTTTTGTATGAGTATTATTTTTTCATTGAAGTTACTCCAAAACTTACAAATTTGATTAAATTAGCTACAAAATTTGAAAAATATATTTCAATTGGACCACCGAACTATTTATGTAGTTGCATGCCGTTAACATTTGTAGTTAATAAAATTGGTAAAATTACAGCATGGGTCCTTGTAAAGTTACATTTTCACGGTGCTACAACCCTGCTTTGTTTTCTTCCATTTTGGTCACTACTTGTATATGATTTGTTTCCTTTGATTTTCATTTATTGTAATTTGATTCTGATTCTGTTTTTAATTTGTCTAATGCATTAATTTGAGCATTAACTTTATTTATTAATGATTATATATATGAAATTATATTTAAAATTAAATTAAAATTTTATTTAAAATACTCGAACTCACGAGCACAATTTAAAATCAAAAGATAAATTTATGATTTGAATAATAAATATTTTTTCTTATGATTATAATTTGAATATTAAATTATTTTTAATGATTATATATATATATAATCATTAAAAGTTAAAAATTAAATATGAAAACAAATAAATTTAGTTTAAAAATATTAAATCTTAAATCAATTATAAATAAATTATTAGATTTATTTTAGTGATTTAAGTGTTGTCATATTCTCAATTGACCTAGATGCAAGTTCTCACTTATAAGCTTTTATTTTTGTTATCATTAACTATAATATATATATATATATATAATTGATTCCTAAATATTATATTTAGTCTATTGGTTAAGTCTTGTTTGGTTACTAATTCATTTTGACTTCAAATTCAATTAAGTTATTTTAATTTTTCTGCTTAAACTTGAACAAGTTATATAACATATGTATTATCTTAATGACAAGCGTAAGAATTAGGTCGGTGGTTAAGGCATGTGCAGGTTACCCTTGGGTGTCAAAACTCATCTTCATTTATTGTCACTTATTCAAAAGGTGAGTTATTGGATTGAAAATTTATTAAATTATTTAAATTAAAATTAAAAACCCTCTAATCAGATTATGACATGGGTCACAATTTGATTGGAGAAATAAATTTATTAAATTAAATTGAAATTAGGACCTAATTAAAAAAAATTAAGAATTAAAGTTAATATTGGTGATCAAATTGATTAATTCTAAAATCTAAGGGATTTAATCTATAAATTCAATACATGACTAGAATAACATTTTTAAAAATTAATGCTCAAATTAAGGCATTAGACAAATGAAAAACATAATCAAGATCAGATTGCATTAAATGAAAATCCATGAAAACAAATCATATACAAGTAGTGACCAAAATGGAAGAAAACAAAGCAGGGTTGTAGCACCGCGAATATGTAACTTTACAAGGACCCACATCCTAATTATACCAATTTTGTTAACTGTCACGTAAACACTTCCGTTAAATGTTAACGGCATGTGACTATATTGAAACTATTTAAATAATTCAGTAGTTAGATTGACGCAAATTTAAAAATGGTGGTCGTTTCAAGACTAAGGTCTATAGTTGAGTGGTCATTTATATAGTTTTCCCTAAAATTAATACATATTTAAAAAAAGAATAGAGTTTAAAATCCTCCTTTATCGTCACCACTCACCACCTTAATGATCCACATCAATAAGATTACTAATCTTAGAAGTTATTTTATGGAAAAAAAGTCTTTACAATTAAAAACATCAAACCCTTTCTTCAAAATCTAATTTTCTCTTATTCATGTGCCGTTAATCATTCTTTTTTTTCGTCTTTATTGATCGATGGCGATACCAATTTTAATATTGATTTTCGATCATTAGTATTCTTTATTATCTTTTTTTTCTTATATCACATCTTAAATTTCTTTTGGTTTTTTTTTATTTTCAATAAGTAGGTATGTATAACACGTTTTCATATGTTTTTATTACACATTTTATTTTGTCTTTTTGACATTTTTCTTCTCTCTTTTGGCATATTTTTCAGTCGTTTGATTATTTTTTTATTTATCTTTTTAAGTGATTTGACATCTCCATGACTGGTCAAGTTGGCGCTTATATGATATTTTGTTGATCTTTTCTGTTTTGGACCCTCGGATTAGATTTGGATACCCAATTTACGTTCGTTGATAGCTTTTCACATTGCTCGAGTCTGAGTGGTCTTTTAGTAGTCTAATCCCATTTTGTGTTTCGTTTGCCAATGCGATCAAATATGTTTATATCTATCTTTGTTCGAGTGTATTGGTTAGATTTTTAATCATTCCTTATATGGTCCTTATATGATCTTAAGTTATTAGTTTTTTTTAATAATTATAAGAAATTATCCTAATTATGTACTTAATTTACAATTATGATTGTAAATCTTCATTGTAATTTACGATATTCTCTATTTTTAATGAAATTAATAGCTTTTATAAGGAAAAGTTATATTATGGCATGTGCTCAAAGTTCATGAAATAATTCAACTAAATTCATTATAAGAGACTATTTTACTTAACAAATGAGTCATATAGTTGTCAGTTCAGAGATGATTCGTATTTTAAACCTTTCGTAAATATTCAATAATTTAAAAGCTTTATGTTAATATTTTTACACGTTAAAATTAGATATTTAACAAATATAATATATTTACTTAATTGTAAGCTAAATCCAAATAATAATAATAATAATAGTAAAAAACTAATACAAATAATAAATGCATTCAAATTTGAAAATAATATATGGATTTAAATATTATAAATGACATTAAATTTTGAATTATAACTACCTATAGGGCGAGCCAAATTATGACCTGAAATTTTTATTTTCTTTTATCAACTCATTTCGGCCTATCTCAACCCACCAGCTCTTAATAATTATTCATGTAAATTAAAAATAAACTATTAATAATTATATATTTTATAATTAAATTAAAACACTTTTAATAATATAGACAATGCCAAAGAACAGGCCTCTTTTGAGTTTAGTTCTACATTGGGAAGGGGGAAATACCATTTAAACCAAATTCAATGGACTATTTTGTTGATCGTTGATCACTAGAATTGGTATCAAATAAATATCAGTTTGTGTTTTACAGGTACAATTTGCCACCAAGTTGTGTGTCTAACAAGCTAATTTGGCAATCCTTATGCTTAGCCTCAAATAAAAGACAAACAGATTCCAGATTCCTTGCTTTCTTCTTCCAGCCTTGGATTACCAGAAACATTGGAATGCAAACTTAAACCAACCTAATATGGATTATACCTACGGCGTCCTCGGCTACTGTCATTGCTGTTACGCCTTCCGCCACTTGAGCTACTACCACTAGCACCACTGCGGCTGCTATGGGGCTGCGGTGGATGGGTATGTGGTTGCATTCCAGGCTGTTGTCTGTACCAAAGTATAAACTTCTCAAGTGAAGGATCATAATAAGGACTAAGGAAAATATGAGAACATAGACGGCACAAAAGTTTGTTATGAATAATATTAATGTATATAATTATTGCAAATCAGTCTGGTGTCTAATGATCAAAACAATGTGCATGAGTTTCTTTAAAAATTAAATGTCAAGTTGGATGCATGTTAAGACACAAGGAAATGGAAACGAAAATAAGGAACGAATGGGTACTAAACTGTTCATCTATGTACATGCACATGCACTTATCATAAAACACACGTGCACACGTGTGATAATATGAACAAACAATAACTCAGGCTCACATGATCTTCAATTGACTGCAAAAGAATTGTTGGAACTTACAGTACATATCCAATCCTTCCATCAGGTAGAAGCATTGGCATCATTGCCATTCCAGCAGGGGTTAGACCTTGACCGTAGATCAAGGGCTGCAAGATTTTAACATAAAAATATCAGCAAAACACAATAAAATGGTGCTAAAAACAAACAAATAATCAGGTATACGATTTCCAAAAGGTCATAAATTTAATAGTGGCACCTTAGTATAAAGAACAATTGGCAATGTATGTCAGTCTGTTGTACAAACCCAAAAATAATGTCCACTCACATGATATTGTTCATCATAGAATATATATATATATATATATATATATATATTTTAAGAATAGGGCCTCATTAAAAACCCCCTTCATAACCCATCAAGCTCCGGAGAACTCAACGGCCATTGGATGGAGGAAAAGAGTGCCCAAAATTTTATTACTAATAGGAGTACATCCAAGAAAAGACCAGATTCAGAACAAAAGTTCCCCATTAAAACACCCAAAACATTCACCCACCTCACCTCACACTAGCCTATGCTCGACTTAGCTAAACTATATGCTTCCCAATTAATACATCTCTTAACATGCCTAGTAATCACATTGAACTCCAACACTCTCTTGGCAATGTCTTTAACCAAATGAACATACGCAACCGGACATGTCTCCGGATTGTTAATCCACTTCAAAGCAATAGAAGAATCACTTTCTAAAATAAGACTACCCTTATCACTCCACACCGAATTCAAAAACAAACCTAAACCAGCTTGAATTGCTTTAAGCCGCTCTCGAGAAATACCCCAACCTCTTATTTTCAGCATCCCTGAGCACACCGCCAATACCACTGCACCTCCAGTCAAAACTTACAGCCCCATTCACATTCACTTTAAAAAATCCCAGAGGGGGGGACACCACTGTGGCTTAGGCGAACCATTCTTTGATGGAGAACAGTGCAAATCAGCCAAGGTTAAGTCTCCCACAAGGCAATCAAGAAGTATAGGGAAATTTGAGTTCTTTGCCGAGAACCAGGAAGCCACCCTCTACCTAGCCAAAAAGAAAAGATTAGTCTGATCCAGCCTACCATTCTCGAACACCATATGATTTCGACATTTCCATACAGTCCACAAAACAGCACCGTTCCATCACATTTCCATCACGTTTTCGACATTAGTCTGATCCATCATAGAATATTTGTAAACTTGTTATAACAAAGGAAATTCTGATGTAGGTACAATGATGGTTTTCTTTTTCTAAGTGCAATGTTCCATCACGTTCCTGAAGAGAGTATGTAAGAAACAGCAGGATAGAGCCAGAGCCAGCATAGATCACAATATATATATATATATGTTAATTTTAGTTTAATCAACCAGTCACCATGTCCACAATAAAGAACCCAAATACAATCTATAGAGATCTGAACCAATATTTATTGTATCCCTGAAAAAATTTGACAAACTATTTTGCTTCCCAAGTATTTCCAAAAATGATTACAAATGTGCATAAAAAGGCTGCAGTCTGAGAACAAGGTGGGAAAAGAAAGCATCTCACCTGTCCAAAACCTGCAGGGCCAAATCCTGTTCCAAGACCACCATATGCTCCCCCAGCTAAACCATATCCTAGAAAAGGTGGGAAGCTTGAATCTAAGGGTGACTTCTGGGAGCCAGATCCTCCAGACTGCTGATCTGCTTGTGGTTTTGCAAGAGAGCACTCCAATACTTGACCTGTCAATAACAGAAAATCCACCAAAAGATCATCTATAATGCTCTTTTTGTCCATGGAAAATACAGAAGTTGATAACATCTGCAAGGTACAAGAAGCATATCCTACCATCAATCTCGTATTTTTCAGTGTTCTTCAATGCTTTCATAGCACAGGACCTCTCTGCAAAATGCACAAAACCATATCTGCTGTTCTCCTTTCCAACTTTTGCTGGTGGAACTACAACTTTCGTAATCTTTCCATGATGTTCAAATAGCTTCTTTAGGCGATCCTGAGTTATATCTTTTGGTAAATTCTTAACATACAAAGCCTTAACCTGCAACATATCAAACATAATTGATTACGCAACTTCACATGCACATTATTCAGAAAATGAGGCCAACACTGAAGCAACAATGCATTATTCAGCAAATAAGATCAAAAACCTGAGTAGTAGCAAAAGATTCTGCATTTCTTGGGTCTGCCCAACTCACAGTTGGCGCGTTATCATCAAGCTTAAATGTTGGCTTCAACATTTTCTGTCTCGAGTATTCAGCACATGCATGATTATAATACTCTATAAAAACAAATCCACGGTTTCGTCCAGGATTCATTGGATCCTACGAAATGTCAAGTTCATCGAATCAATAACTAATATAAATTAGCCATGAGGAATGCAACTTTGAATTATAAGTAAACCAGTCTTGTAAATCAGGAAGTGACAGACAACATACGCACTAATGCACAAACCTTCAACAACTCAATACAATTGACTCCAGGACCAACATCTGTTACAACCTTCTTCATATCTTCCTCCCCCCAGTTTCTGGGAACATTACCAATAAACAACTTATTCTTAGCTTGAGATGTTGAACATTTTATCTTCTTCCCCTGAAGAATACAAAAGGAGTAAACAAGAAAACAGAAATAAGACTCAGAAAGAGAATATTTTGGGTAGAAATGAAAGCACTATTCATCTCTTAATTCATAGGAAGCATAAAGGAAGATATTTATTGGATGCAAACAAATAAAACATATATAGCAATGTTAAACCCTACTAGAATTTGTTGACCTGAAAAGCAATGCATCCTTTCTCACCTTGAAATCAGAACCATTCAGGTTTTCAATAGCTTTGGAAGCCAACTCTTTGGATCTGAAGGTCACAAAAGCATAACCCTTGGCCTCCCCTGAATCTTTCTCCTTCATTATCCTAACCTGTAATCAATATGTAGTCAGTCCAAATAAGAGGAATACAGCCAGACATTGTGAAATTAAAAAAAAAAAAGTTACCTCTACAACTTCTCCTATAGATTCACAAAATCGCCTCAAGTCCTCGTCAGAAGCATCATGAGAAATGCCACCAAGGTAAACCTCTGACCCATGAGGAGGAAGTGCAAGAAGCTCTGCATGTTTCTTTTTCCTTTCTTCTTGTGTCTCAAAATCATTCATATCTTCATTAGCATCAGAGCGATTTTGCAAATCAGCATCCTCATCCTCTTCTTCCACCTCCTCTTCCACCTCTTCCTCAACTTCCACTTCCTCTTCTTCCTCTATTTCTTCATACTCAACCTCTTCCTCTATAGTCTCTTCAGGGTCATTGTCTCCATCAAGGTCCACCTGTTCTTCAATCTCTTCCCTTGTCCTTGGCATTTTATGTATCTAATAAACCAAGCTTGCAAGGCAACTGTGAGGGAATCACAGAAGCCAGAAGCATTGAAAAAAGAGGAGTACAAATTTGGAAAGGAGGAAACAAAAATGAGAGGCCAAATGGAGTCACAGAATAAGAATTTTGTTTGAATCTTAGCCATAAAATAATATGGCTTCACAGGAGTTGCAACTTGAATGATTCTCAGAAAAGGGAATTACAAAATAGTAAAAGTAGTAATAGACACAGACAAAGAAAGTTCTGAATGATAATTAAGAGGCTTCAGATGCTCAACAAAGTGAAATTTTTGAAAAATTAGAAAATGGATGCGGGCAAGTGCCCAAAAAAACAATGGTCAGTTCTAATTTAATGTATATCTGCGAAAATGCATTCACCAAAAGGGGAAAAGGGAAGAAAAACAAAAAGGAAAAAAGCAATGAATGAGAAATTGAACTAAAATGGAGAAAATAAAGAAATAGAAGGGATACAATACGTGATTCCAGCAAAAGAGCAAAACAATTTTCCTTTAATAGTCATGCTGCAACTAGCAAACCAAACGGATAACAAGGTTTAACTTTAAACATACCATTGCTACTCAGCATCTTTCAATTCCCATCCATGTTTGCATCAATTTAAGTATCTATCAATTTATTTAGTTTCATCGAATTCTAAAAACATTAATCCCGCATAGGCTCATACTCTATTACTTACGACGTTATTTCAACAACAAATTCATGAAATTTCAACAACAAATTCATGAAATTTCAACATTAGAGATTCAAAATGAAGTATTTTTCAAAACTTCATATTTATGTATTGCCACTGCAAAATTTCAAACATTAGAGATTCAAAATAAGAATATAAAATCAGCTGAAAGAGAGGAAAAACAACAAGGTTACAACCATTTCTAATTCAGTAAATGGTGAACCCTAAATAAAAAACAATCAGCATTAAGCATAAAGAATAGACTCGAGATTAGTACAAATAAATTTAGAAAGAGAAAGAAAAGGTTACCGAGCTCGAAAATTTGAAGAATTGGAGGGAAATCTAGCAAAGAATGCCGAGGGATTTTGTTAGGGGAAACCCTAATTTTGAGTCTTGACACAACGGATGAGGAGGCGGACGCTCTACTTTCGCGGGCCTTTATATTCGAGTTTTCGTCCCCAACATATCTGTATTATGGGTAAACTACACATTTTTCTCTAAACTTTACTCTCTCTCATATTTTACTCACCGTACTTTCAATTGTTTTTTATTTTGCTCATTTAACTTTACAGCCTACAAATTAAATCATTTTGCTCATTCTGTCATTAACTCTCTAACGGTGCGATGACCTGTTATTTATTATTATTATTATTTAATATAAATAATTGAAAACATAAAAGGTAAATTACACCATTCTTCACTGAATTTTACCCTCTCTCCTATTTTGTTCACAAAACTATAAAATAAAAATAGAAGTTTGCCGGATGCCACCGCTGGCCATCATCGACCATCGTAGAGGTTAGTTTTTCGATATAAAAATTCATGGGTTGCTTCGCATTGACACCTTGAGTCTAAATCCGACCTCTATTTTGTCGGAACTTGCTCCAAAGTCCACGAATTGGAGATTAAAAGTGAGAAAGCTGAAACATTTGAATCGAGATTCACAGATTTTAGGACATTTTCGCATTAAACAACCACCAGATTTGGACTCAGGGGTTGAGATGAACTGACCCATGAATTTTGAGACTAAACAACCACCATCAATGATGGTAGACGGTGATTGGAATGAAAAATGATGTAGTTGCCGACGGCGGCAACCGGTCACCATATTTGCAAAGAAGAGCATTCAAAATGATATCGTTTTGATGCTTGTGCCATACTATCACACCGTTAGAGAGTTAACAGAAGATTGAATAAAATGATTCAATATATAAAGTTTAGTGAGCAAAATAGAAAATTGAAAGTAAAGTAGTAACATAGGAGAGATAGTAAAATTCAGTGATGAATGGTGTAATTTATCCCTGTATTATTCATCTTCTAATTGAAATTTAGGCAAATTACTTTTATAGTCACTAAATTATATGATTAATTCTATTTTGACCACTAAATATGACTATCAATTAACTCTCTAAATTATTAAAATAATTTCAATCAAGCGATTTATCTTTATTTTTTTAATGAAAAAGTTAATGTGGCAGATGAATAAATCTGTATAATTATATATTTAATTTTTGTATACTTTATTAATTTGATTTTAATGTAATTTAAAATACTATTTTTTATTTACTATAACTTAATGTACATAAAAAATATTGAATTTTTTTGTTCGACATTTCTCGTTGTTCTAGTTGTTATTTTATTATTGTTTTTTTTTCTTCACTAATAAAATATAATCTAATTAAATTTTTTAAAATAGTAGGGTAATATAAGAATGAGAGACCAATGATAGCCTGATGAGCAAGAACACGTGCATTTGACGCAGCAACAGACAAAAATAGATCACTCTGACATTTTCGATTACTAAATATAGAGGAGAAAAATAACAAAGAAAACCAATGAAAAGATTCTGCATCGGAAATCTAAAAACACTGATAGTCTTGATATTTTTTACCGGAAAAAAGACCGAGAGAAAACATTATTAGAAATAAATAAAAATACAACTGAAAATTAAGAAAAGTAAACAACAAACATTGAAAAAATGGAAATGAAGAGTAGTGACCGGAGAAAGCCACCGCCAGTACCTTACCGAAAGAAATTTGTGATAACCGTTCAATGTAAAATAATCGGAAAAGAGCATTTTCTTTTTTGTTTTTGAATGTAACGTGTTTTCTTTAAGTAGTTTGACTTATAATTTAATTTATATATATTATCAACAGTAGATCAATTAATTATGACACAATGGTTAAACATAAACTTTTCTTCCCAAGTTTTAATCTCCTCTTCTTTATTCTTATTTTATTTATTCTTCTATAATCAAATGACGATAATGGTGGATGTCTCCCTATTTGTTTCTGGAAACAGGTTTTCCGGCAAACATCGTCAGGGTGTAACAAAACTCATCTTAGGTTTCCCGTAGATGTTTTGCCTCAACTTCAAAGATGTTGGATGCATTTCACAATTTGCCCCATCTAGCAATACAAATGCTATGTTATCTTCAATTTATTTTAAATTAGTAATGCATTTTTTTTTCATTTGATACAATTTTATTATATGATATGTATGGATGGATATGTCCTTTACATTTGAGAATTAAGGGTATAAATCCTGCCTTGAAGAATCAGACAGGCAAAAACCATGTTGGAATCACTAAGTTGAGGAAATGGTTAAAGAATTACCACCCGAAATCACATTTAACACACTCTATTTCAAAAACTAAACCAAACATTAACTGGTTCAGTCCATTCACCTCCAAGCCTCAGAAAGCTCAGCTCTCGAATTTATGCGGTTCACAATCCGAGTTTCCTTGTTCCTCTGCTCGGCTCCCGATTCGCATTCCGTCGAGCATTCTTTTGCCTTCTTCGATCCCTTCTTTAGGCTCGGCATACTCGATTGACCGTTTCTTCTCTTTTCCGATACACTCCGGATACCGCCTTCCTCGAGATCATTTGCCGAAGCGACAATGTTATCAACTAGAGATCGATTTCCAGAACAAATTAGGAAGCCTTTAGAGTTATGAGCGGGGCTCTTCATCTCAGGTTCTTGAGCAACAAATGCTTTCTCTCCTTCACTTTGGTTTTTAACCTTGTTATTGGCATCTCTGTCTAGTCGTGCACAACTTGGCCGTCCATTCTTATCGGAAGGCTCTAACGGAGAAATAGGAGCAGAGTTTACCGTGGAATCTTCTCTTTCTTTGAGAGCTCTAATAACAAGTGTCTTGAGAAAATTCATCACCTGGACCGCATGCATCAATGCCGTCAAAGGATCCGACATCTGCAACAAACAGCAGCAATGGAGATCATTAGACTATGAAAGCATCAGGTTTCAATGACAGAGCTTTATCAACTACCACGATTAACTCACTTGAGTCATGTTTGGAGCAAACACCATGGCGATATTCCGTGCATTCATCTTGTTCAGATGTTCCAGTTGCACAACATCAGCCATCAAATTTATGGCCCAATCGAGTAGAGCGGCCTCGGTCGGAGGAAGAAGCCTTGCAAGCCGACCACACTCTTCCTCGGACTGGGATTTTATCACCTGCTCCGGAGGAAGAGAGTCCAATACACCACTAGGAAGTTCCCTAAACCAAGCCTGCAGATTTATAAAACACACAACATTCTCATTTATCAGCAATCGAACATACACACAGCTTTTAAAGAGCAAAGATAATATACCTTTATAAGACCTGCCAAGCAATGCACATCTATCCCATCGGGTATTACTCCTTTATTCAATTGCTCTCTAACATACTCTTCGTGACTATTCTCTGCATTAACCCTGAAAATCCCTTCGGTCTAAAGAAACCAACACGAGAACTTAGATATAAAAATTGGATAAAGATAATCAAAGCAAGTTTCCAGGAATAGTAAAGATAGACGATGACATGCCTGGAGGCCTCCTTTTGCATATAAACGCCTTTGCATCAGCAGTAGTATTGTTGGCACACTGTTTCCCCTGGAATCAAACGAAAGCTGCATAGATTCCGTCGAAACTCCGAACACACTTTTACTTCATAACAATGGCGTACGTCTCAGTAAAAGAAATTAAAGAAAATCAAAAAACAAATTGATCAAGAGAAAGAAAGAGGTTACCTGGCACTGGGGGGTCTCCTGGGGACCTCAGGCTCAAACTCAACAGGCAAACCGAGGAAACCATGGAACCTATCAAAGGTGACATGGGAAACATGTTGAACATTGGTAGGCAACCCGATTTCCATTGAACAAAGGTCTTTACTCCCGGAGATGGTGCAACCGACCAAAGACTTCCTAAAAGCGGTCACCAAAATGGTTATTAAAGGCAGTTGTTGGGCTCCTTTGTCCCTTGCTTTCGTCTCCCCGTCTTGCCTGCACTCGTCTTCTTGGTCGCTTTCTTGAGCAACCATGCTGACGGAGGTGTTGATAATGGGGTGCTGCGTTGCGCTGGGGCTTGAAGGTGAAGAGAAGTGAGAAGAGGATGATGGGAGAACTTCAGTCATTGTGTTTTTCTTTCTTGGTGACAGGAATTTGCAGCCAAGATTCAAGCCCTTTTTTAATGATTCTTGGGGGAGAAAAACAAATCACTTAATGGGATTCAAGGAAAGAACAAGCAACCATCATCATTTTCTTATCTTTTTAGTTTGGCTTGAGGATTCAACGAGCGATGTGAGAAGATAGAGAGGGAGGGGAGAGAAAAATAAGATTGCGTATTCTGTTCTGTAAAACAAATAGGGGGGGGGTTTGGTTCTCTACAGTTGAACTATCTTTTTGTTTCGTTCCGAAAGCCAATGGAATTTTGCCATCTCAGCGTTCCGTTGTGGATTCCTTCCTTAGCAGCTTCACAGTTGACTCGCGAGCTTCCATTCTGTTTCTGGATATTATAATACAAAACAATATTCGACGAATTCTTTACAAAATTTGCTAACTTCCAATGTAACAAAGAATTTGGTTATTTGAATGACACGTATCCTCGTATGATTAAATTTTATTTATCATTAAAATTTATATTATTATAAATTTTAATTAAAATAAAATAATTTCAAATTTTATATCATCTGATTTATTAATGCATATACCACGTACTAAAAATAAATAAATTCAATTGATTTTAACACAACTCTTAATTTAACTGTATCATGCCAGAAAATAGACCCCACCGGTTATCTACCAAATACCGTCCCGTTGACCATTTTGATTAAACCGGTACACTTCAAATAACCTTATTAAAAGCCTTTGCTGCCTTTTCCAACGACTCAATGAACCAAAGAATCTTGGAGCGAAGGTGGCCGTTGTAAACTCGGGTGAACTGTCTCAAGTTTAAACCCAACTCTGCGGACATCTTTCGGCTGTTGGCTGCCTTTTCCTAAGTGATCGTTAACCCTCAACGGGATGAATTTTGCACATTCATACGCTTCTTAATTTTTGATACAATCATATATATAAATCAAATTACTTATTTTAATAATATGTGTCTTATTAAGATTTATGATTTTAAGCCGTACGATTTAAAAGTTAAAGTCCAACATTTCAAATTTAAGTTCTAAAGGAATGCAAGGTGGATGGTTCGAGGATTTTTTCCTTCATTGCGAATTTTTTTACTAATTCAATGTGATTTTTCAGTCTCTAATTATTTATTCATTTAAAATTGTTTCGAGACGAATACAATTCCTTGATTTCTTTCTTGACTTATGATTGTGAGGTTGATCGATCGAACATAGATCCTCTTCTTCAACAACGATTGTTCTAATTTTTATGGGACTCAATGAGACTTACACTACTCTTTGTAGTCAAATTCTCTTCATGCAACTATTACCTACGATCAACTAATATCATAAAAAAAATTCAAATTAAATCAAATAAAAATTTAACTAAAATGTAGAAGAATTATTATCTTAAAATCTGTCTTAATTTATGTAATACACTTTCTTTTTAAAATTTGTAATTTTAATAACATGTCATAATTTATGCTTTGCGATGGTGTAATACTTTTCTTTGTTATGGTATACTTATTTTTGTAATGATAATCTTACTATATTTTTGGATTAACTACATGATTGATTATTTATGTTTGTGTTTTGTCTATTTTCTCTCACACATTTAAAAAATCATAATATATAGTCACTTTCGTTTTTATTTAATTAATATATGATCACTTTCGTTTTTATTTAATTAAGATGTGATCATCATGGGTTAATTATTGTTAACGGTTAATAGATTAGATGACATAGTATTTTGATGTAATCACACATTTGATCCATATTATTTATATATTCTCTCAATTTAGTCATAATAAAAAATAAATTAAAATAAATTTAGTTCTCTAATAGAATGATGATAGGTGTCAAGACACCCTCTTGTTGAAAGAAAATAAAGCAAAGCAAAGCAAATTAGGACTAAAATAATCCGAACCCGAGTCCCTTCAAAAAACAAACATGTACCCAATCATTGAGCCAATATCAATGTTTGGACTAAAATAGACAAACATGATGTATATATTTTGATTCTTAGTGTATAAATACTTAACTTAAATTTATAACATTTTATATATATTAACTTTAAAAAATTATTTTCCATATTAACTTATTAAATATGTTTTATTATTAACTTAATTTAAAAGTACTTTATTTTTATTTTAGAATATATATTTTATTCTTATTTAAACTTTTAAAAATAAATATTTTATTATTATTTTAACTTTTAAAAGTATATTTTATCTTAATTTACTAAATATATTATATTATTACTTTAAATTATTAAATATATTTTGTTTTTATCTTAATATTAAAATATTTTAACATAAAATATATATTTTTAAATTAAAATAAAAATAAAGTTAATAATAAAATATATTTAATAAGTTAAAATAAAAACTATTTTTTAAAGTTAATATATATATATATGACGAATTTAAGTTAAGTATTTATACATTAAGGTATAAAATATATATATCATGTTAAACTAAATTTTGGTCTTGACTTAATGGTTGGATATATGCTTGATTTTCTAAATGATTTAAGTCCAATTTTTTGGCTCTAATTTACTTTGCTTTATTTTCTTTCTACCGGATGTCACATCCTCTCATTGATGGAAAATAAATATATTAAATTAAAATAAAGTTAGTTTTCCAATCGAATGATGACATATGACATCATTCGATTGGATGATTAAATTTAGGGTAAAATATAGTAATGGTCACTGAACATTTCTGAAGCTTGCATTTAGGTCCCCCAACTTTTAAAACTTGCAATACAATCCCCCAACATTTATTCCGTTTGCAATATGGTTCCCCAACTTAAATCACTGTTAGAAAATTAGGGTAAATTATATAAACGGTCATTGAACTTTTCAGGCACTTGAATTTAGGTCCCCAACTTTTAAAACTTGCAAAACAGTCCCCCAATAATTTTATTTTCTTATTAAATATAGATGTATAGAAAATATAAATGATTCAATTTATATTTAAATGTATGAATCATTTATATTTTTGATATATTTTATTTTTCTTGTATAAACTAGTATTTAAAATATGTTTATATTTTAATCAAAATATTTCAATATACGAATAAAAATATATTTATATAAATGTATATTTATATTTAGATGTATAAATAAAAATATATATTCATATATTAATGTATGAATCATTTATATTTTTTGAATATTTTATTTTTAATAAGAAATTAAAATTATTAATTATATTAGAAATACTCAACTTAAGATTATATATAATCATGAATTATAAATATGAAAAATATAATTATTAAATTTAGTTTAAAATATAAATCTTAAATTTATTCTTTTAAAATATTGTATCAACTAATATTTAAAAAATATATTAAATCTATCAAACAATTTATCAAATAATATTTTTTATTGTAAAAAAATATAATATTTTCCCATCATTTATTGCTTTCAAATTTTTTGCCGAAGTTAAAATCTCATTATTTCCATTTTCCATTATATTCTTTTTTTCTGGCATTGGTCATACTATAGTATATGTATTATTGTATATCTCTTAACACAAACGATGGTGTTAGCTTAGTGGCTCCACCCTGTATCTTTCATTTGCGTGACTCAGGTTTGAGTTTGCCCAAGACCCAAATTTTACTTCTTTGTAACTTAATTTTCTTCTAATTAGGTGGTGACATGTGTTACCAATAACATATATCATGATCATGTGTTAACACATGTCAGATCCTGGTTAAATGATTAATTTATTAAATTTTATTTAATTTAGGACCAAATTGATAGCATATATAAATAATTAGGTGGTGACATGTGTCACTAATGACACGTGTCATGATCATGTGCTAACACATGTCAGATCCTAATTAAATGATTAATTTATTAAATTCTATTTAATTTAGGACCAAATTGATTATATAAAATAATAAAGACTAAATGTATAATAATTTCAATTCATTTTAACTGCCACTTCATCATTTGTATCAATTGGTAACGACTAGTGGCTTAGTTGAAACAGTTAAATAATTATGTTGTATGATTGATAAATTTAAAAGATCGATGACAAAAGTAAAAAGGGCTAGATAGTTAAGTTGTCAACCTAGTAGTTTACACTTTTATTTATACATCAAAATAACATTTTATAAATTTAAAATTCGAATTATTTTCAACCTCTTCTATATCCTAACTACTTTTTTTAATTAAAAAATTTCTTCAACAGATAAGAATTATACTATTATATTTATATAAAAAATACGTATCACATGAAATAAGATGAAATTAAATAATAATAAATCTGACATAATTGAATTTAATTGAATTATTTTGGAATTTAGGGTTTAGAATGAAATTGAATTACTTTGGAAATTGGGGTTTAGAATGAAATTGAGGACTGTTTTGTAAGTTTTAAAAGTTGGGGGACCTAAATTCAAGTGTCTGAAAAGTTCAATAACCTTTTATATAATTTACCCTAATTTCTAACGGTGGTTTAAGTTGGGGGACCATATTGCAAACGGGATAAATATTGGGGGATTGTATTGCAAGTTTTAAAAGTTGAGGGACCTAAATGCAAGCTTCAGAAATGTTCAGTGACCATTACTATACTTTACCCTTAAATTTATTTTAATTTATTAATAGTAAGACTAAATTGAGAAAATATGTAAATAACAATGATCAAATATGTGATTATATCAAAATATTTAACGATAGTTAATTCGAGATGACCTCATCTTAATTCAATAAAAATAAAAGTGATTATATATTATTATATTTTTTTAAAAATAATAAAGAAATGTAAACAAAATACAAACATAAATACTCAATTATTTAGTTAATCCTATATTTTATCTTTATTTTTAATAAAATTAATTATTATAACTAATTAAAAAATATAAGAAGAAGAAATTCAAATAAGTAGATATTTTATTAACTCAAAGGAACCATCATTTTCTACTGCATCTCTTGGATACGATGTCATCTTTTCTATCTAGAACTCGCCATTTTCAATTTCGGGACAATAGTGAGTCATGAGATTGGGGGGTTTAATTTTAGAAAAAAAGGCAATATTAGTGAATAACACCAAAGCGCATAAAGGACAAGAATCAAAAGGCGGAGCCGACAACAAAGATGAGCTGAAGCATTAAGGAATTTCCATAGTATTCATACCATTCCCATGTTAAAGCTCCCGAAAACTCAAACCTTTCTTATAG